TTCCCTATTTGCTTATTCTGGAAAATAAAAATAGGTGTCGACTCATATGGTCTCATATCAATATGTTATCATCAACAGACAAGTCTATTCACTATTGTTTCAATTGAGTAAACAGTGGTGTAAGGGTCAGCCGTGCTCACAGGTAATTGTTAGTGCGCAGACAGTCCTGTCAAGCGTGTTAGCTAAAAATACATCCCACACTGTCACTTCGCAAGGTGTTTGAAAATAATAGCCCCGATACAGGAAAACAGGACACAGGCTTGTGTACTGACCTTTTTCTTTGTTTAATTTGTTCAGAGGTTTAATTTCAGGGGACAAGTAATAATTGAATATGTCTAATAACTAAATGCTCATTTGGGACAAAATCCATCAAAATATAATTGGCATTTGGGTCTGATGAAAGGAAAATGACGTGGCGGTAGAGAAACGGATGTGTCCTAAGAATATCTGATCACTTAATGTATAAATTGAAGCTTCTTTCATAATATATATTAATTGCAGATACTTAAGGATTTTAGCATTTTTTTGTAGTGAACCGTTACCAGAGACCAACTGTTTTTGTTAAATGCTACTCTCGGAAAGGCGGGGAAGGTTATTGGTCTGTCGTGCAATAATTTACTCCTCTTTGATATGCAAACGATCCACGGTGAATATAAAAAAATCCTATCAGACTCATTTCACAGTTCTTAACCACTTAGATTCTCTGGAGTCTATCGCCTCATTAGACCAGTGCTCTCCAAAGCTAGCATAATTAAAATCTTTAACAGTTTAGCAAAGTAAAGATGTTTGGCTGATCACGTTGAGATGATTATCTATCCATTGTATTCTAAATGACAAAAATAAATTAAATTTAGACCTTGGCATTTTTTATTATGTGTTTCAAATGAATATAATGCATACTGCCTTCTTTTTTTTTTTTTTTTTTTTTTAATTTCAATACCTTAGGTTTGGTGAGATACATGCCTGTGTGAGCTGCTGCTGTACACTCAGAAAATGGCAGGTTTCCTTAGGATAGCTCCAGTGCTACAATACGCTGAAACAATGAACAGTCATCCAAATGATGATCTGGGAGCACAGTGATGAGAAACCTCTTTAAAAACATACAGACACTGGCTTCTTTTTATTTTTATTTTTTTCCCCCCTGATTATTTAACTGATGCATCCCTACTGCTAATTTTTTTCCCATGGCCTTCTCTGAAAGAGCATTGAAATAGTCTTCACTGAGAGAAACTTGAGTTATTTGATCATGTCACAAACATAAGCTTTATCCAAGAGCGTGATCTCAGCGTGAGCCTGTGTCACGCCAACACGCACGCTCCCCTTCCAGCCTTCCCCTTCCAGCCTGGCCCACTGGAGTTCCCAAAGTTTCCACTTGCCTTATTTATTGACCACAATGTCCTAAACCTGCTGTCCATTTTGGCACCATAAAAAAATATATATTTTATTTTTTATTATTATTTCTTGAAGCTTATTTTCTGTTTTCATTTTACTTTTCAATGGCTCATTAGCATCGATCTAAGAAATGACAGTAATAATAGTGTTACTTGTATAGAAAGTTATACAGTTTTTCAGTAGACACATCCATCAATTAAGTGAGCAGTTTGAGAAACCAAAATTAATGAGAAAGATAGGTGTGTTAATGAAATAATCATAGTATAATCAATTTGACTGTTAAAATTTGAAAAGCATTTCAGGAAGACAATATGAATTCATAATTTATGTCTAAAAGTGATTAATAAAAACTGTATTTAATAACAAAGCTATTTGTCATCATTTAAAACTTAAGCACAAAATTAGTCATATTGTGGTTCGTGTTGTCATAATAATAAAGCTGAATATTTTTTTTCCTAAGACCTTCCTTTCTCTTAAAAACAGGTTAGAAAGTATTCACTTTCCTTAAAAAAAAAATAAAGTAAATAATATATAAAAAACAAATTAAATTTCTCCACACCTGACTGCAGAGTGGCCCTTGGCCACCTTTGCTGTCAGCTTGCTATGAGCTCTGGGCAATTTCTGCCTGAGTAAGGACTCTGGAAATGGGCCCTCTGTAATTTTAATTACAAAAAATAATAATAATTAACATGGAATTTGGAGTGGGTGTCCTGTTGTGTAGACCCTTCTGCCCCCCACCCTGGATTTTGCAATACAGGTACTGCAGGTGTCACACCAGAAAATTTAGCAGAGACGTGCAGTGTTGTATCAGCCTTTAGTTATTTAAAAAAAAAGAAATACGCAAAAATACGCGCTCACACACACACACAAAACTAACACTAGGCTTTGTTTACTGACTCTTTGATTTAATTACTGTTTGAAGACGGCCGAATTAGCTGTTAATTGATTTAATTATCCAATTTGTTTGTTTCAGGCATGATTCCAACAGAACTGCAGCAGCTCTGGAAGGAAGTGACAAGCTCGCACACAGCGGAGGAGGCAGCCAGCAACAACCACAGCAGCCTGGACCTGTCCACCACCTGCGTCTCCTCCTCCGCGCCGTCTAAGACCTCCTTAATCATCAACCCACACGCCTCAACTAATGGACAGCTATCGGTCCACACTCCTAAACGGGAGAGGTAGGTGCTGGTGGGGTTTCCACCCGCGAGCATCTCGGAAGAGGGTGCCGAAATGATGGCGAAATTGTTGGGAGCGTTGGCCAACCGCCTTGGCCTGGGTTTTGTCCTCTCACATCTTGCTCTGTCTGATTTTGGCGTGGTTGAATAGAGTCTCCACTGGGCAGAATATGCTCCTTTTGTTCAGATCTTTATGGCTTGTTAATTGGATCAATGTGGGCACAATTAGCTAATTAGAAGTGCGTTGGATAAGCATATTGGGGGAAGTGTGAAGAACATAAGCTGTTTTTTTGAGTTTTGCATCACGGGTGGTGTTACTCTTGATGTGCTTTGGGTTTGTAGGCTGGAGGTGAGAAAAAAAAAAATCTGTTGGTCAGTAGAGGCTGTTTTACCACCTGTTTTTCTGCCAAATTTCACTGCCCCATCTCATTTAACACGTTTGCCTTTTTTCCTCTATTTACCCGCTTTTACAAGACAGGATAGGCTTGAGTTCACCAGGTTTCTCTAAAACAAAATGGATTTTTTTTTAAATGCTGATAAAATTAGCTAACTGGTGTTGTTTGGCTTTTAAAAGTGTGAGTTAATTTATACTTGCTAGGCTTGCATTGTTAAAAGAAGTGCTTTAAATCAGGGGTTGTCTGTTGACGTGCTTCTCGGCGCGGGCTCTGCTTTATTCCAAAGGATGCTTTATTGCAGGTTTGTTTCTTTACGCCCCCAGATTTCACTGAGGTGTGTCTAACAACATAACTTTTGCTTATGGTGAGATAGACGGTCCCAGGAGCTTGGGGCTGTGGGTGCCAGCGCCTGCTGCAGCCCCAGCATTGCTGCCAGAGGAGGAGGAGGAAGGGTCTCCGAGAGCTCGTGAGCAGCGTGGGTGCAGCGGGGAGGGCAGTGCTTCTTTGCATTCAGGAGAGTCCCTTTGCCCATTTAGAAATGTTCCAGCAGACACTAGTGAAAGCTGGATTTTATGGAAACTGATGGCTTTGTCTTCTGTCCTCCTTTCATTCATTAGAAAGAGGATAATGGAATTTTTAAGCCATAGAGTTTATATTTCTGGTGGTCTGAAAGTAGATTGATAGGGAAGCTATATAAATACCTCTTATATCTTTCTAATATTAAGAAAATAGTGCTGTTGGGAATAGATAGATTTTAAAGGAGAGCACACCACTGCTGAAAAGAACTGCTCCGTCTGTGTAAGGCATAATTTTATATCCATTGCAAGGACATGTGGGGGAACATCAGTATATACATTTATAATGCGTGTAAGTGTCAAGGACGTGGTTTTCATGAAGACTTACCTGGGATACTAAAAACAGTTTGGTGTTTATTAAACAATTAAATTATCTTTTTGCTGCAGATAGAGCTGAACAAGATGGGTTTATGACTTTTCAATAAATTTTTTATCTATGTTTTTCTTACCGAGTATATAAAATAAAAACCCATGCAGTGAAATGGATCTTCTTTTACTGATCAGAGGCACGTGCTTTCTGCTAATGGTGATCTAACCGAGGAAACAGTATGTCATTGCTGTTTAGTTGGAAATGCAGTGGAAATACAGGAATCTGTTCTGAAGTAGGAATTTTCTCTGTGTATACTGTCAAGCAGAACTGGAAATCCATGTGTCCGAGTCCTGTAATTGTGGCCTGGAGGCAATTGGGATCTACCAACAAGGTGATACATATGTTTTTATTAGAAAAGTTCCAAATAAATTAATTAGGAAGGCATAAACATGCCATGGTGATGCCATGGTATTGTTTTAGATTAGAAGGCTTAAAATCCTCAGTGGCTGAATTGATAGCTGTATTGTTAAAGCTTGCCATAATACTTTCCTTACATATCTATTGAGTTCTCTACAATATCAAAATACAAAAGTAGGTATATTTAGGAATAAAAATAAGAAAGCTACAGACTTTGCTTTATTTTGCCTCTGTTTGGTACACTGAAGGTTTACGCCATCCATTTGCTGCAGTGATTGAATTACATCTTTATCCATAAGTAGAACAGGAGACTACACACAGAAGAATGCCTACTGATGCACTTAAGGGTTTTGTTGCATTCTCATCAGGCTCCGTGGTGCCTGCCTGGATTTCATGTGACACACAAACTCCTCTTGTTGAGATGTGTTGCGGTGGTTTCCTTTCTGAAAGGGTATTTATCTACAGGCAGGGCATTTGGGGTGTGAGCGAGCAGTGAGGAAGGAGTGGCTGGGCTTCACTGTCAGATGTATATTTGGAAGCTCATAGAAGGTGAAATTTTAGTGTGCTTAGAAAAGAGAGAGCACAGGCATGAGCAGGGTTTTGGTAATTTTTTGATTGCAAAGTGTAAGATTAGAAAAGATCATGGGTCTGGTGGGAGGAGGAGTATGCCAGACTGCTAGTGAAATCCCTGTATGTTCTTGCACCCAACTGGTTCCGCACAATAACTGAGCTTGCAAAGACAAGGGGACTTGTGGAGGTGGTGCCTAGCCCACGCTCAGGTCAGGTGGAGCTGTCAGAAGGGCTCACAAGGGAGACACCAGCCCTTCCACCTCCCATCACACAAGCCTGCAGCTTGGGCTGGCCACGGCAGGTTTTTGGATTGTGGCTTCTTCCCTCTCATTCCTGCACCCTCTGTGCAACTGGCCGTTAGCTTTGGTCTGCTACAACCAAGAGCTATTTATTTAGATTTAAACAACAATAAAAAGCACATAGTAAAAGCTGTAAGTGTCCTAACAGTTAAGCACAGCCACATCATAACGAGTGCCCGGCAGCAATAAATAATCATATACAGGTAACATTAACTTTTAGGGTGGGCTGTAAAGCTATCCCCCCTCCACGCCTCTTGGGCTTTTGAGAAGGAGTGGGCTGCAAGAGGCAAGCTGGTTAAGTGGGAGTTACTGTCATCGCTGTCATCTCTGGCACACGTCACTGGGGTAGTTCAGGATGGTTTTTTTAAAGGGTTCCTGATCACACAGGTCAGGTTATGAAGCTGCTTGAGACCTGTGAGACAGGAGGCACTCAGCAGACTGCAGCGGCACCTGCGTAGAAGTCATTGGGCAAGCAGCAGCTCTGCTGTGTGTCTTGGGTAAAAACACGTTTTGATGATAAACAAGGAGTTTAAAATGACAGGAGAAACAGTCATTGACTCCTCAGCATGCCCACGCTTTGCCGTGCCATGGGCGAAGCTTTAGTCCTGTGCAGGCTGCAAGGACGCAGCTCTCGTGTCACTGGTGACACTGGCCACACTGCAACTGCGTGGGACCGCCACGCTCAGAGCTGAGTGACAACAAAAGTTCTCCTTTATGGCAAAGAACCAAACTGCATGTGGGTGGCCAGAGTCACCCTGGGATGTTTGAAAAGCAAAAAAAAAATGTTGAAAAGCAAGAGGCATCCTCCACGTCGGGGCATGGGCCAGGGAGCTTCGTGGTGCTGCTCTTGGTTTGTGTGTGCTCTGTGTGTATGGCTTTCACAGGAATGAAACAACTCCAGCTATAAATAATGGGTTAATGCTTTCATTCATTTGGGCTTTAAATGTATATTACATCTACGCTTTTGTCCCACATTTCGCCCAGTTTCTGTAAGTAGCAGCAGTAGCAGCTCTGGGGTTTGGTGCACAGCAATCTGTTAAGGAGATAAATAATCTGCTTTGGCATGACACTCCTACTCTCCTCTTTAATTTGTCTTACACAAGGAAAATTATAATTAAATCATTCAGGGTAAACCCTTGAGTGTAGAGAAGGAAAAAACACACTTTGGTAAAGATTGCCAATAGAGACCAACTTCCCTGTTGTGCCGTGCAGAGACATTTATCAATATTCAGCACTATTAAAGAGAGAACATTTCGTGTGATTTGTGAGGCGGATGCCAAAGCTCAAATCAAGGCTTGTTAAGATCCTTTCCCCATGCAATCATGGGCATTCAGCATCATTAGAATTCAGCACTGACTGTGTGTTTCATGCTTTGATTTTACTCAGACAATTTAATAATGTTTATTGTGCTGATTATATATATAAATTCACTCAATGCAATAAACATACCTCAGTCATCAGTACCCTAAGGGAAATATTTAGTTATAGATACTTGTATTCACTCAGGATAAGCGAAAGTGAGACCATCAAACAGCATGCAAACCTCTCATCATCTTATCAGCGTTTGGGTTTCTTCAGTAACAAGCATTTTCTCTGCACAAGTAAATAAATAAATAACAGGAGAGAGTTAAGTACATCTGCTGTGCTTTGAAATGTCAAGGACAGTACCCGCTTTCTGTCTTGTTCCACTGCATCTTATTTGGGGAAAACGTGATTTTCTTAAGAGAAACAGCAAAACAAAGCAGGTGGATGCTCGGTTGCTTTAGGTGACTCCTGACTTTATGACCTGATGAGCAGTGGGCATCCCGAAACCTGTGTGTTTGGGAATATTCCCCATGTGGGGAGGTTTGGGAAAGCAGAAGGGTGCAGAATTCAGCAGCGCTTTGTGGTGAGCGGAGGTTGCTCTGGCTTGGGCTTGAACTGGGAGGTCTGGGGTTGCTGTGGGCACCTGCCTGCTGGTCCCGTCCCCTGGCACTGGTCTGTATTGACTGCAACAGTGACCTGAGGATGGAGCCTGTATGTAAACATATGAGTTAATGAAGGTGTAAGATCTGATCATTTAGGAAGCCCATCTGTTTGCAAGAGGCAAGGTGAAGAGTTGGAGGTAAAAGGCTACATGGCCAAGAGACCTTTCTCCATCTGCCAGTAATCCCATGTTTGTCCCTTCCTGTTTTTATACCCTTTCCAACCATGCTTGAGTCTTGTCCTTCTACATAAGCAAGCACCCATCTCATTAAAAAAAAATAGATGGAATAAACAAGGGGATTTTTAAATTACTTTTTCTTGCCAGCATCACAGGAGGAAGGAGTTTGGAGAGAGCTCTGAAGGGAAGTGAGAGGAACGGCGTGGCAGACCATTGATCTGCTGGTTAGGCTTAATGTGTTGTGTTTTACTGTTGTTATCTTCCATGCCAGCTGATCCTCCATCAGAATCCCAA